ACACACACACACACACACACACACACACACACACACACGTATACAGGCAAATTTCATATAAATAAAAATCAGAGTCAATACATATCAACAACACCATGTGGCCTGTAAGACCTAATCAATTAAAAAACATATATCATGGTATGTTAACCTTTTTTCACCACTGTACTTGCAGGACACGTCTGAGAATTTGGATCCATCTAGATCCTGATTGAAAATACATTCCCAAAATGTGACCATGCTTTATTACCTTTGTGGACACAGACGGTCGGACCTTCCCGAAGGCATCCTCAAAGTTGTGCTTGCTCACTCTGATGTCAGCAGCAGAGCCAGACGAATGTGTGTGGCCTGTGTGGAGTGTAGAGGCGAACAGAATGGACATGCATGAGTGTAATTAGCTAGTTTCACTGCAACTGTGAATCGTGTTTTACTTTTTGATAGCACAACAATCGTTAGCTGTACTAAAGAGGAAACAGAAATCAATAGAAAGAAGAGGGAACACAGGTGCTATGATTGTTTCTTCTTTAAGTTTATAAAAATAATCTTCAGTGAAAACCCAGGTAGGTCTCGGTTGCACCTTGTAGGCCAGCTTATTGTTGTTATTTGAGTTGGAATATGAAAGTTTGATATACTGCATACAGTGTTGTCTTGTATATGTTATTGTAGGGTCAATATTAAAGCGCTTTGAGGCGACTGTTGCTGTGATTTGGTGTAATATTAACAAAACTGAACTGAATTAAACTGAGTCCATGCACTAACTAGACCGTAACGTGGTAAAGTAAAGTGAAACCATGGGAATGTGTTTGGTGACTACCTGCAGACCCACAGGAGGACTACAGCTGTGGAGCTAAACACTGTGCAGGCATGCAGAGGACGAGTTCAGTTACCAGGAGATGCAGCCGAGGAAGGCTGGGACTTCAGGTAGGTCCTCAGGGCATTAAGAGACGCCTCCCTCACCAATGCAGTCAGGTCAGCTCCACTACGTCAAAACAAACACACACACACACACACACACACACACACACACACACACACACACACACACACACACACACACACACCCCTTTAGTGTGGAGCTTGAACACTGCAAGCTAGAACAGAAGGCTTTGCAGCCACACTGCTGCTCCACCACTCAAACCTACCTGAAGCCATCGCAGCGCTTATCTCGTGCAATCTCTTCAAGGCTGACATCCTGCTCCAGCTGAGGTCTGGTCCCCCCCTAAACATGGAGCAGTGAAGTTGATCGACAGCTTTTCTATGATGTCCTTACTCAGCAGCATGTGGCTGGATATTTTCAGTGTCAGCTAGATTTTAAAATACAGTCATCAGTGCACCAACATAACTGTTTAATGTGTTTGTTTCCCCTTTGTTCTCTATTTGATAGTGTACAATATATAATGCACACTTTTTCATTTCATCTGAATAGAAGCAGTCCATTTCCTACTTTAGTGATTGTATGCAGGATGGTATGGCGGTCTGCTGGTGGTGGCAGACCCACATACAAGGTTTTATCCAGACGGCCTGGTCTCAGTACAGCAGGGTCGATGATATCTGGTGATAAAACAGAACATTGTAACAGTAAAAACCTGCCATTTCAAATCATTTAAAGAAGAATGTGCTCAAAGTATTCTTTTTAACCTAAATCCGCTTCCTGTTCCATGCATCTAACTTCCCAAATTCTACAGACACTTTAACTTTGTCATCAGTAAATGTCCTCAGCAAAACCCATTTTCAGTCTCCAGTTACTCTATATGAGCAAAAGTCCTCGGCCACACCTGTTACTCTTTGGATTTAGTAGTTTTCAGTCCCATTGTGTAGAGTCCAGTCATGCAGCTGCCTTTACAAGCCTTTGTGAAAGAATGGGTTATTCTCAATGAAATAAGGTGGCACTGTAATACTGTAAGATTTTCTCTCTCCTCGATATTCCACATTCAGCTGACATCTAGTGGAAGCAACAGCATTGCTTAAACATACTGAAAAACAGAAGCAACTCAAAGTGGTGGACACGTACGGCGGTGCACAGCGCTCTGCCGAGCTCCTTTAGTTTAAACATCAACACACAAACAGTGAACCAGAAGCTTCACAGCCTGGGTTTCCATGGCCAAGCAGCTCCTTGAGGCGTGCTGTTATGGTAATAAGTCTCCATACCTGGTCTGTTAGTGGCAGCCATGATGAAGACCTGCCGTCGACTCTCCAAGCCGTCCATCTCTGTAAGCAGCTGGTTGACGACCCGCACACTGGCTCCTGACTGAACACAAACAAAGACAGTTCACGCCTGCTGTGGGGGGGTGGTTGTTTTTTTCGATTTTCTCCCCCTTTTCCTTCCTGCCTCTCAGTGCTGGCATTGGCATGTTACACATGCACATGTGAATAATAACAGAAATTCATAGATAAATACATAAAAGGGAAGATGAGCCCACAGAGGTATTAAAAACGAAGTGCTCGTCCTGCGTTTGATACTGTCAGCCACGGTATGTTACTACAGAGAGACACACTGGCTGTTACAGGAAATGGCCTGCATTGGTTTGAATAACATCTGACAGATATGTAAATGGGGAGTCTTCTTAACCACAAGTCATGGAGTTCCACAGGGCTTTGTGTGCCTAATGGGAACATACAGTTTAAATGAAATCACACTTTCCTGACATGCTAACTAGGGCTGGGCGATATATCGAGTTTTTTAAAAATATCGATATATTTTCATACGAGATATAAGATGTGACAATATCGTTTATATCGATATAGTCTATGTTACGTTATAATTATACTTGTGGAGCCGCAGGTTTGCCTCTCTTTCGTCCACTTTTGTCTCTACGCAACGTTACTCGGCCTCGCCTCTCCTTCACTGAACACAACTCCGCCTCCCCTATAGCTTCACCTGCAGGCAATGACAAGATGAAAGCGGAAAATCTCCGTTAGCGAGTTACCGTGCGTGGGGCTGGACGGCGTCAACGTGTTAGCGAGCTAACCGCGCTAACGACATGCAGCCCGGAGGGGCTGCACGGACTAAAATCCTTTCATTTTCTCAAAACTCGACAGTGCGCCTTATGTATGAATTCTGGTTGTGCTTACTGACCGCGAACCGATTTTATGTGGTACACAGCGCTGTCAAAAAATGTTTTAATATGACTTTGCTAAGCTACGGAGCTGCACCGCTTGATGGATTGTCGGAGAATCACAGCTACAGAGGAGGAGCCTCGCGGAGTGATACGTACTGTGTGTGTAAGGACCACAAATGGCACCTGTTCAGAGACGTGGTGCAGCTGTGAAATCTGTCTCTTTGTTATTATGCTCAGCGTCTATTAGTTTACATTTTGACTGCACAATTGTGAGCTTTTTGTTATGCACAAAAACAACATTGTTTTTTTTTATTTATGGAGCATGATTATTTAATAAATGCTGATAATTTATTTTTGAGTAATTTCTTCATGTACATCTACGCTGTATGTAAATAAAAGTGCCCGTGTGACATCTGGGACACAGTGTGACTAAGAACTCTCTTTTTGTTCTTAACTTATGGCTTTAAAAAGAAAAAAATCAAGATATATATCTTATATCGCCATCCAGCTAAAAAAATATCGAGATATGAATTTTGGGTCATATCGCCCAGCCCTAATGCTAACATTATGATCTTACCTCGTGGCCTGAGCGGCGTGGACACAGTGCGTCGATCTCGTCAAAGAAGATCACACAAGGAGCAGAGTTGCGTCCTCTTTGGAAGACCTGTCTGACAGCCCGCTCGCTCTCTCCCACATACTGCAAACACAGAGCACAAGTCAGCTCTGAGGTCGACACAGACAGCACTGCTACTGTGATCATAGCTTCTTTACTTTTATTCAGCACACTTATAAAGAAATCAACAGAAATGAGAATCCAGATATGCAGATAATATGCAGGCGTGTGCGGCTGGTGGTTCAGGACAAACCCTCAGAGGCATGTTTCTTGGCTCTGCTACGACTCTCCAAAACAATGCAGCAATGCACAGGCTGAGGCCAGCACAGCAGCATGCTCTCCAGCTCAGTGACTTACCATGTTGAGCAGCTCTGGTCCTTTGACAGAGATGAAGTTGAGGCCTGACTCGTTGGCTACGGCCTGTCAGGAAAGAGAATAGAAGCATTCAGTGAGGCACGCTGAGAAAATGAGCAGCATGACAGAGCCAAGTTAGCCATAGGCCTTATGCTAAGTTAAGTGTGTTTGTCCAGTCACTGATACTGACAGTGACCCTACTTCATCCTCAGAAAGAGACCGAATGTCCTGATTTACTTCATATTAAAGTTACATATAAAATAAATAAATGATAATCGATTTGGTTTGAACATGTTTAAAATTCATCACTCAGATTTTCATAACTATGCTGTGCTATGAAAACAGATGATGCTCATGTATGTGTCGGTGGGCGGGACAACCTTGGCCAGCAGGGTTTTTCCACATCCTGGAGGTCCAGCCAGCAGCACCCCAGACGGAGCGCTCAGCCCCAGAGCTCTGAACTGCTCTGGAGAACGCACTGGAGCCTGCAGGGCACACACGGCTGCGTTATATGTGCTAACACTGATCAGAGAAGAGTGAGGCTGAACCAGCTCAAACACAGGTAACGTGTGAGAGAACAGAGGACAGTAGTATAATAAAAGACAATAAAATAAAAGGGTCATGGCTTATTCTGAAATCCATGTGTTTACCAGTATAGCCATGGTGAGCTCCTCTCGGACATCCTGCAGCGCTCCCACATCTTCCCAGGTGACATCAGGCACTGTGGCAAATCCTTCCCTCTTAGCTGAGGGCTGCACACTAGCCAGAGAGAGCTGGAAATCTGACATGAGAATGGACAAGCCAGCCAGCTTCTCCTCTGATAGGGTCTCTGTGCTCTTCAGCAGGCACAGCACGCTCCACAGCTCCCCCTGCTGGACGCAGCACATAACACGTCAGGGCAACGCAGAGGCAGGAAATCCCGTCGAGCCGTTTTGCATTCAAATGCAGCACAGCAGAGTGAGTGTGGCATCTCCACAAAAACAGGGCAGCGATGCGTACACGTGCTGTGGTTGAAGCAGCACCAACATATTTAACAGCCTGCCACACTGAAGGTGTGTCTGCTGTGTGATATGAGCCATACAGATCTGCGTGCGCCGCTCGCCTCAGTTTGGCTCTAATCCATGTCAAATTCAAACTTCTTAAGTGAGTATTTCTGTAAAACATGCAAAGATCTGTGTTCGTGCTCTGAGAACAGCAGTTCTGTTAGCCCGAGTCATCCAAACATGAGCAGTAACGACAGCTTTAACAGCACCTGCAGGCATCTCTCACTCTGATCTCATATACTAACACTGACAAGAGCTCATAAGAAAAACAAATAAGCAGCAAGTCTGTAGTCCTCATTATTTAAGAACGACCATCGTGCTGAGTAACGTTTGAGACCGTCCCGGAGCTCCTCGTACCTGCTGATGATTCTGTCCCGGCTCCTCCTGAGGCACGGGGTTGGCGTCGGTCGCTTGTTGTTGTTCTGATGTGACGTCTGTCAAAGCTAACGGTTCTTTAGCAGACGTCTGGCTTTGGCTGTGCGGAGGCCCCCTCGTTTCCAGCAGCACCCTGTTTACAGCACTCATGGCAGCTTCGCGGCACAAAGCCATGAGGTCAGCACCCACGTAGCCTGGGGTGAGTCGGGCCAGCTGCTGGTAATCAAAGTCCTCTGGCAGCTTCAGCTTTCGACATAACGTCCTCAAGATCCTGGGAGAGTAACAAACACGTTCAAACTGTGTACTTGTGAGCCGAGCGAGAGACTGCTGTGGTAAATACCCAAAAGTGTCAACAATGCCTGCTCCACAAACAGGCACGGTGCTGATCGTCCACCTGCCCAACACTTTGCTTTAGGTCTCAGCATCCTCTGAGCATCTCATCGCCATCTGTGATGGACATGTTATTCAAATCACGACCCCTTCCTTCAGTATCACCTCATCTTTCTGCCACAGAACTGGAGTTTGTGGTGTGATTCAGTTCTGCTCTGCTTTCCACAGAGGTCGCACGTATGCTTCCCTGTTTTTTCAGGACGATACAGGTCAGCATACGCAGCGTGCTTATTAAGGAAACCTCGCTTCACATTCCTGCTCTGTTGTTAGCTAATATCGATCAGGCTGCCTGTGATGTGTTCACGTCACTGTTAAATCCCTGACACTGCCTCTGTCACCTCTATTTTCTTTTACTTGGAACCCAAAGTGACCCAAGTGTTTCCCAATAACAGAGAGAACCTCGAGTAGGGAAGGTGCTGTTCCTTTAATTTCTCACCCATTCCCGCCCTGATGGCCTTTGGCTACCAGTCAAGAAAGTACAAAAGGTAAACTTGAAATGTTGACACGAAGCACAACTGAAATACCAATTTGTCCGTCTAGTTGTGTGTAGCTGACCTGAGACGCGCCGCTTCATCTGGGATACCCATGCAGATCTCTCTGTCGAAGCGGCCGGCTCTGCGGAGGGCGGGGTCCAGGGAGTCTGGTCTGTTGGTGGCACCGACGACCAGGAGCTGAGCCGGAACTGCCAGACTATTCAGATCTGTCAGGCAGAGTGCAAAAAAACGTGACGGCGCTGGCGAAAGCTGAGGTGTGGTGTTAATGAACACGAGCGTTCCGGTGCGACGAGCCTGATAAGTGCTTATGTTTGTGAGTCTGCTTGTATTTCCACAAGAGAATTGCATGTCATACCATCCATGCAGGTTAGCAGCTGGGCTACAATCCTCCTCTCCATATCTTTAGAGGCCACCTCTCTTTTAGGGGTGATGGCATCTATCTCATCTATGAAGAGGATACACGGAGCTGAACTCTGCAAGGGAGGAAGAGAAACTACATTCGCTTTACATTGTTACAGTCACGCCACAGGTCTCATGCTTATTCATGCACCGCCTTGATCTCTATACATGTTTTTAACCACATTCAAAGAGGACTTTCTCTGACACCATAACACGTCTGCACCCGTGAGCCTGCAGCTCCATCAAACCATCTAAACTTAGAGCGTTGCTGCGGCTTTGAGGATCAGCTGCGTTTGACTGCCTGTCAATCACCAGCACGCTGCTAAAATAAGGTGCGGGCTCAGGAGCGAGCCGGACACTTCTGGAACGATTGGAAGTAAAAGAGGAAAAAAAGCAGTATTAACCACAGCGAGGTCAAACAGCTCCCTGAGCTTCTGTTCAGACTCCCCGGACACTCCGGACACCAGCTCTGGAGCAGAAACCTTCAACATGGGCAGGTGCATCTCCTGAAACACACAATCACAGCTTATTTAAGTGCACAACACCTTCATGGACGTCACCCATACTCAGACCCTGTTAGAGAAGTAGCAGCACTTTGTTGCCAAAACTGTGATGAAACCAGGCTGACAGGATGCCGAGGTGCATCTCTATATATGAATTGTCCAGCACTCACCCCAGCCACAGCCTGGGCCAGCAGGGTCTTTCCACAACCAGGTGGTCCATGCAGCAGAAAGCCCCTCGGAGGAACCATTCCCAGCTGCTGGTACACCTCTGGGTGTCGCATGTGTATGAGCAGCTTACACACTTCCTGCAGCAATGTTTTTTATAGAAATGAGTGAAAACCAGCTGGACAATTTCATGTGCAGTCAACACATTCTTCATTTAAGCTGTGCTGTGTTACAGCAATGCACTTTAATCAAAGAAGCTAATGTAGCTACAGACAAGGCAGCAAGGACGACGCTACTAACCACTAACGTCTCTTCATTTCCTCCAACATCTTCAAACTTCAAAGTGGGGTAGTGCAGCTCGGGCGACTTTGCTAAAGAATCATTCATAGAGAAAATGACTGCAAAGAAACAGACGCTGACAACCACTGCAGTGAAGTCTTATACTAACAGACGTATTGGAACTGAAGTGAAACACATGCCTTATTTATACAATTAGAAATAAGGGGTCAAAAATGTTTGCATGCAAGTTTTTCTGCAAGGCTGAAAATGTTGTGGGGGGTGGAGCTGAACCCTTTTAAAGTGGAGCCAGATATCGTCTGAGACGTACCTTAGCTCCCACCCACGGCACGAGGTGCATGCTCAGTGAGGCACGGCGATTACCCATAATGCATCTCTGAACAGCACAGCAAATTATTCCTGCCTGTGGATGCCTCTCTTTACAATCGCTCCATCTAATGCACAGGAAGCACTGCAGTAGCTGTATGATCGCACTGACAAACTACACAAAGCGGTACCTTTCTTGTTGAGCGTGTGTGTCTCAGTGGTTTCAGGACTTCTTTCAGCAGTCTTTCTCCTTTTTTTGGACTTCTTGTGAGACCTGTCCCCCTCCAGAATGGACACGTCAGTCTGTTTGTGACAGGCGAGGAGGCCATGTAACGTGAACATAGGACATAAATACTGATCAAAATACCGTCTCTTTTTGCATATGTGTCACAGTTACATGTTTCATGTCATCAAATGTTAATATGACACAACTGTGGACTTCATCTATTAATGGGGAAAAGCTAGCCAAGTCTACCGTGGCCTGTGTGAGGAAGTAATTGCCCCCCTCATGAAACGCTGCGTCCAACCACAGTTCAGCTTCGCCACACGCAGGCTTACTGTCAGACATGCTCAAGAAATCAGCTACACGTTAGGTGATTTCTTATCAAGTCCTTTATTTGAGAAAATGAAGTAAACTAAAAGAGCTAAAAAAAAAAAAGGAACACATCATTATGATCTAAAGAACCTGCTGGAAGACAAAACACTGCCGTGTATGGAAAGCCGTTTCTAAGGCTGGGACTAGAGCAGGGCGATATGGCCAAAAGTATTTATCACGATATATATTTGAAAATTTGCGATAACGATATAACTGACGATATAATTGATGCGAGACAAAATACAACTCCACAACATTACTAGCGCAAAAAGACAACCTTCCATTTATTTTCACTTAAACAAGAAGCTGGTTTTTATGTACATTAAAGCTTTATAAAAATGTAACAGTGCAAATGCAAATTCCTTGCTGAAAGTTTAACCAAAAGGCATTTCCAGTAGAAATGGGCTGACATATCCTGAGCATAACCATGTATAATATCCACTGAAGTTAAAAAGAGGTGCTTTGCAACATTAAACTGCAGTGTGCAGTACGTATTTTTCGGACCATAAGGTGCACGGGATTATAAGGCACATTAAGCGAAACAAAGCAGTCAGATAAATCAAACTTTATTAAACTCATTCTTCTTGCTTCCTCCACTTCTGTACCATTGATTCATTAATGTTGAATTCTCTGGCAGCTGCTCTATTCCCATGTTGTTGCAGTATATTAATGACTAACCTCGTATTGTGGATGGATTATCTCAGTTGTTCTCCTGACTGAAGTTTGGTCCGTTTACAGCATCCTGCCATGCGATTGCATTTGTCTCTAACTCAGAGAACTTACGTTAACTTTTATAAGTGGAAAAGTGTTAGTGTTCGTCCTCCAGCTTCACTGTTTATGTTATGCTAACATAGCTGTGTCGCTAGCGATCACGTAGCACATCATTATATACCAGCTAGCCCAACTTCAGTAACCCTACAAACGTCACTGCTGTTTAGTTTCCTGTCTTCATTTATGTTGGAAGTGATAGCAGAGCTGTACGTTTGATTTTTTTCAGAAATCTCTCAGTCAGAACATGCTATATCATGCTTAGGTAACTAGCGAAACTAGCGAGCTAACTTCCGCTAGCTTCCTGCTAACTTCTAACTCCGTTAAATGTAATAACTTTTGTTTTCATGGATGCCTGGAAGTTAAACTTCATAGTTACACCTGGTAAAGCAGCAATGCTGATCGTTTTATTAAAGATGAAAGAATTTAGACAGTTTTTAACTCTAAGTGATGCTGCAGTGTTGTTTGACCTGAAGCATACGGAGTTTAGGACCCAGATTACTCCCAGATTTAAGAGCATCTTAGTCCGACAAATACGACAATAACGACGGCCGCTTGCATGTTCTGCAAAAAAATGTGCTTTGTTGTGTATCTGACGGACAAACACCAAACCAGTTCCACATCACTGAAGTTGCACCATTTTTACAAACCAATTCTGGTTCATCTGTTTCACTCAACAATCGGCCATGTGCGTATGAAAACAAAGGCACTGCGCATGCGCGTTTTACTCCCATTCTATCGCGATATTTCATTTTCCTATCGTTGCCTAACATTATACCGGTATTACCGTGAACGGTATAATATGGCCCAGCCCTAGCTGGGACTCCAGAAAACCAGGAAACAAGGGGAAGAAAACCGTGGAGAGCTGAAGGTGAAAACCATTGCTGACCAAAAACAACACAAAGACTGGAAGCTTGAGTCACGTTACATATGAGAGCAAACTAACACAGCATTTCATACCAGCAGTCAGACACAGTGGTGCTGCTTCAAGCCTGGATAGTCCATAGATTTGTCTCTCTACCAGAAAATCTTGAAGGAGAATGTCAGGCCATCAGTTTATGACCCGACAAGAGCACTCGGGTTACGCAGCAGGAAAATAACCCAACACACAGCATCAAGTGCACCTCTGACTGGCTCAAAGAAGCAACGAACAAAGTCGGGCCTAAATCTGATTGAGATGCTTTGGCATGGACAGTGCTCCAGTGTGGCTGAACTTGGGGCAAAGCTTCACCACAGACATGTGAAAGACTCACTGCCAGTGCATGGTGGCAGTTCTTGCAGCCAAGGGTTAGTTTTAGGGGCAATTACTTTCCCACACATGGCCAGGTAGGTCTGGATAACGTCTTTCCCTCAATGGATGAAACAAACATTTCAAATGTGTAACTCAGGTTATCTTTGATATTAACATTTATTTGGTGATTGAAACCTTCAAGTGGGACAAATATGTAAACAACCGAGGGAAGGTTAGTGATTCTGGCTGCTCCCAGTCTGTAAGTCTCCTTGGGTTCCACACCAGTGCCAAATTTCTCTCTGATGGAGTATGAATGTACTTCCATACAGGAAGAAAAAGGTGAAGGAGGCATGTTGTCTAAAGTGCTCAGGCAGAGACAAAAGCACTATAAAAGAAGCAGTGCCGTTTAACAGCTTCTTGTCCTCGACCCATTTTCTCACCACCTTTGATTGCACACTTCACTTTTGAGCCACAGTGACCGTCTCAGTGTCACCATGATATCATGTATGTATTTATCCATTTCCATATCCAAACGGTCTTCACTCCTGTGGAGACCTGTTGCTTCGTCCTTGGACCTCAGACACTATTATTAATTTTTTCCGTGTTTCTTGCCTTAGATGTGAAGGCTTCTCTCTGACAACATGGCCACTGCTTTCTCCGCTTCACTTGGAGGTAAACGCGTTTCCTTCAAGAGGAAAATTGGAGCTAGTGCCCGCGAACTGTATGAGACTGTTTAGAACTAATGGCCTTGTGCAATTCTGATTCACTCACTTACACGTGATGGTGAGAATAAAATGGGCCAGAATCACCTTTCATACATGCAGCAGTGATTTTGCATGCAAACTCATTTTTTGTGCAGGGTAAGAACAATTCCACGTGAATGTGAGTAAATCAGGCCCAATGTCCTTTGGGCAGAGGACAACAAAGAGCGGCAAACACAGCATATCAGCACAGAGTACAATGGCAGAGCTGCCACACCTTGATAAATGGTATCCAAGTAATACTTTTTTACTCCATTTGAGAACTCAAAGCACTTTCTAGTATGATCCTCATTCACATACCTTTTCTATACTTAAGCACTTCAATATAACATTCCCATTTCAGTGAATGCACTGGTGCAACTGAGAATTCAGTGAGGACCAAGAACACTTCCAGACTGGGGAGCCGGGGATGAACCCAGTCAGAGCTGGACCTCAGCCTGATTGAAATGCTGTGGCGGGACCTTAAGAGAAATGTGCATAAATGATAGTTTGCTGCCTGCAAACCTCCATGGACCGGGGGTGGCTGTGGCAGAGCAGATCAGCTACTGACTGGAAGGTTGGTGGTTCGATTCCTGGCTTCCCCAGTCTGCATGCCAAATACCTTTGGGCAAAATATTAACCCCAAATTGCTCTCCGATGCGTCCATCGGAGTGTGAATGTTTATTAGTTGCACTTGTGTTTAGAAGTGCTTGAATGGGTGAATGTGGCGTGTTGTATAGAGCGCTTTGAGTACTCCAGGAGAGTAAAGCGCTACATAAGAATCAGTCCATTTAGCATGGACTGAAGCGGAGTGGTTCAAAATTCCTCCACAGTGATGTGACGGATGAAATCATGCAGAGAAAGCTGACAGGGTCTTTTTAGCACGACCAGCACTTTTCTTATTGAAGCCAAACAACTTGCAATACTGACTGTGATGCAATTCCAAGCACCAAAGAGCACAACCACATCACATCTTAATGATTATCACACGACGCTTACTAGGGTTCATCTATGCAGACATGTTAGTTACAGACATTTACTGGTTGTTTGGTCGGGTCGTCGTCACAAAGGTCGATGATGGTGCTGCTCTTCTCGGGAGCTCTATCAATAAACCAGCCTCCTTTGGAGACCAGGGTCACTGAAGCCGAAGGCGGAGCAGTGGCTGTGCTGCGAGGACTGCTGGTAGCAGCGTTCCCTTTCCGGTACAGAGACGACAGAGAGCTGTTCATTTGGTTTGTGGGCTGTGACAGGGAGAAAAAGGTCATTAGCAAATTAGTGCTAAACCACGCACGCACACGCACACACACACACACACACCCAAACACACACCACACAAACGCGAGCACACGCAGCCAGCGCGCGACGACGCACACACGACGCACCCGCCCCCCCAAAAACCAACACCGCCACACACGACACGCACACGCACGACACGCACACACACACACACACACACACACGCTGCCCCAAGAAGTTGATTCTGTTTATCTGGATGTTTTCAGTGGGACAAACGTTTCGTCACTCATCAGGTGACGTCTTCAGTCTCAGCTGAACATTCGCACGGTGAGTAACAACGGGCTGTGAGCTCAGCTTCTTCATCATTAACATGTAAATCATGACCACTGACCATCGAACTATTGTTTCCTCTGCCTCCATAATGACATCTCAATAAAATCCAGGGTGTTCTGGATGTGGTGTTCAGAGCTGCAGCAGGTTGAGGATCGAAGCCAGAAACTTTGAGATGTTATAGGTGACAGAGTTACAGTCGGTCTTAAAGGTGCACCCTGTTAATGTGTCTTTGGTAAACCATTCAGCCTTGGTGCAGCTTGCGGTCAACAGCATCGTCTTGTTCTAACTGCTTCAGTCTATCCACTTCCTGGGTCTTCTTTCAGGGGCTCATAAGTATTTCTCATGATAGTCTTTCTGGTTGGTGCACCTACGCTTGACAGGATGCATGATACTGTTGTTGTCATTACTAAGGGATGCGAGTGCCTTCCTTTCCTCCATGCAGATGTTGGATGCTGGGCGCTTTGCATTGCTGGGACAAGTTGAAGCTTTTGTCCGCAGCAGCTCTGCTTTGCCTCGGCGTCACAACAAAGTTTTCGCAGCTTTTGCGAGGATGTTTTTCTCCACTTTTTGGTACTCTCATCGAGAAGATCTCTGTCGGATCTCTTTTAATTTTAGCATGTCAAATCTGTCTCACCCGTTCACCGAGCAGCTGGTTCTGTGCGTTCTGGAGCATTTTTGTTGCTGGGAAGCCTTAAATGAAGATTGCATTTGCAGACTTTTAGGAGTAATCCTGCTTTGTCTGTATCTGAATCTCAGGTGCAGCCATCAGTCGTGCTGTTTGCTCGTGCACACGTGCTAGCTTTAGGCAGTCCTTGCTAAAGTCGGTTAAAATTCTGTTCAGAGAAAAGAATCAACTTTTTGGGATTTCCTTACCTGGATGACTGAGCATGCATCCACACACACACACACACACACATGCATCACTAATTAGTGCTTACAATGTTCTCATTACTGTCAGAAGCCTCCTCTGAGCTGCTGCTACCACTCTCGTCACTGTAAACACAGATTTAGAGCACATCAATTACACATTTAAAGAGCAGAAGGACAGCAGAGGACACAACAAGCAGAGGGCCTCACCCAGTGTCACGGTGGCTGTGCTTGGCTCTCTTAGCCAGGTGTTTGCTCTCCAGCTCATTCAGCCCAGAATCCTTAATGACTGCTTCATACACTAGAAAAGCCATACATGTCAAACTGAGTGCACAATCATTAGGCTGTAACAGACACACACAAGCTGCAGAGGTCATCTGGGCTTTTGTCATATCGCTGCACGACAAGACTTCCTGTGATGGAAAACCTGAATGACCCTGCCTGTTTTTCATTAAAAAGGTTCAACATGATCATCCTTAACCAGCCTGCTGCTACAGTGGAATCATTCATCCTTCTTGTTCAATATCAATCGAGATGTGTCCAAACAGCAGAACCACACAGACCGTGCTCTCTTACCTTTCTCTACCTGGATCCTGAACGCCGTCTTGTTTCTTCTGCCATAGTCCATCCTAAAGACACAATAACTTCATGTCACCAGGACCAAAGCGGTGGAAGCACTGAGCACTGATTTTCATAATCTGAGTCACCTAAGGCCGACACCGACTCAGATTTATGTGCATTTTCAATTCTATCCCAGCCGTCCTTCACCGCATGCATATAAAAGGGAAAGGGATGTAATTAAAAAGTGGTGAAGCTAATTAATTAATCAGCAGCAGCCAGGTGCTGATGAGCTGATCAGTGTGAACACAGCTATAACAACACAGCAGCACTCAGGTGTGTGTTAACACAATGCCAAGGTGGAAGGACATCAGCAATGATCTGCTGCCCATCGGTCTGACACAGGTTACAGGGTCATTTCAAACACATGCCTGCAAACCTCAGAGAACAGAACTTCATCCACAATGATGACAGAATGATGGAGAACACCTTTACTTCAGCTTATTGCTGCTGAAGGAACTCCAACAAGCTCCTTATGAGCACTGACCCCACTCTAAGACCCACTAAGGACCAGATTTGTAGAACTGACAAGTCCAGTGACTGTATGTGTCACTGTTATCAGTGTCTGTGAAAATGTGCTCATAAATTTCAGATATTAGCCAACCTCACAGATGCAGGTCTGCAGTGTGATGCATTAAAACCATGTCAGCCACTCAAGCATTAAAATAGAGCTGATTTAACACAGACAAAGAAGAGTCAACATGCAGGGCTTTTACACCTCCACATATCTTCACTGGAACCAGCCGTGCAGATCTCAGCTTTGTGGAACAAGCTCGAGTGTTTTATTTGAGCCAGGACAGATGACTCGCCTGTACAGTTTCTGAAGGTCCAGGGCCATGGCTGACAGATCCACATATTCACTGCTGCTGGAGCCCAGATACTGAAAACACAGTTCAACATTAATGTAACCAAAGTGGTGGACACAAGGAAAATCACCAGGAAACATCATGAAATCCACTCGCTGGCATTATATTTATGGAACATCAATAGTTTTGACAGCTCGATGATGGCCACACAGTGTGAAGCAGTGCCAGGGTCTCTCTCACACACACACAGCAGATGCTCAAAGAACTCATGCAACACAAATGATGACATCATTGGTTTCAGTAACATGTAATCTGATTACTTTGTACTGGTCTTGGTCACACTGGTGACTGAGGAGAGACACGTACCTGCTCAACTCTTTGTCTAAGGCGACCGTCCTGCCACCCGCCGCCGTGGCCCTTCATGCCTTCTCCGCGCCTGCTGCAGGACACATCCTCAGCTTTAGTAACCATGGTAACCACAGTGTCATTTTACACTCACCAGCACTGTGTCCAGCTTTCTGTGACAACTTACAACCACTATGTCCCCACGGCGCCTTTACTAGCCTCGTATTAAACTATGATACATCACATTTACACCGAACTTCATCAAAGTCTTCAAGTTATTGTTTTTCCAAAAACGCAACCAGAGACAAGCCCGCTCAGCCCCTCACTGCACCACTAATAACACCGGTGTTATTATCTGTTCATTCATTCACTGGTTTCTGTTAGGAGCATCATTTCTCGGATTTCTTTATTTGGACAATTTTCTACACAGTTTGCAGCTGAAACCAGATTTTTCACTCAGCAGCAAACAAAAGCGGGGCGCGCGTGTTAGCTCTGGGACAGACTGTGGCCTGGCTCTTATTGTTTCTTTCCTTCACCATCTTCAAGCATCCCAGAAAGGAACTCCTGTTCATCTGCAAGTGCCGTTTCATCTCATCTCTATGATTTCTTCAGCACATCCAGGTGATCAGAAGCGACTCTGTGACAGCGACATTCATCAGGCAGGGACGGCTAGAAAACAAGAGCTGTGAGTGTGGGCACAGCTGTAGGCCACTCGCGTGTTTTTAAGCACCCACGTATGAAAGAGGCACAGACTCAAGCGTAGCGGACCAAACAAAAGTCTAAACGGCTCCTGCAAAAACGTGACTCACGATCAAAGTAGTGGAGGGCGCTCCTGTTCGCGGGCTTTAAATGGTGGATGTCCGGCTTGTATCAGCTGGACGGCATTAAAACACAACCCCGTCACCACGCGGCTTCTCACGCGTGGCTTTTACAGGCACGGGGAAACAGCCTTACCACCAACACGAGCGCGACACAGTTATCCCGGAAACGAAAATGATCACATCCGGGTGATTGTTTTCAAAATAAAACAGCCTTTCTTGAGATTTGGGAAACATCAGAGCACACCGGTACGTTTTCCGATGTAGTTTGAAAAGCTCGAAATACGAATTTGTCATAAAGAAAATGAGTTGACCGTTACTTCAGCACTCCCGACACCGAACACGTCCTTGTATTAGTGAGAAGCAGCAGTCCAAACCGCGTGGTTCCTGGCCCCGGGGAAGCTGTAGTGTGAGACAGTAGTCGGCGGGCACGGTGGCTCCCAGTCTGCCGCTCTGTGCCGTACACGGCGTGAGGAGGAGCCGCTGTCGCTTTCACTTCCTCGTCGTGCTGTCGGACTGCCACACTTCCTCGTTAGTCCGAGGTGGTGGGGCTCGTCGCTGTGGCGGTCATGAAGGACGGTACCGGAGCAGCAGGGCCGGCTCCTTCCCGCGGGGACGTGTACGCGGACTACGTCAAGTGTTACCTGGAGGAGCGGGCAGAGGTCGGGCCGTGCCGCGACCCCCAGCTGCTGAAGAGGGCGGCTCAGTATCTACTGAGCGAGGCGGAGACCGGCGGGACTTTCACAATGTTCCCCTTTTACCAGGCTGTGACTGAGCGCTGTGAGGCTCAGAGCGACTTCAGGAAACACCTGTCCGCCTTCATCAGAGCCTCAGAAGTGCTGGAAACTCTGTGCGTCAACCTGTTCCTCCAGCCATGGAAGAAGGAAATCAGGACACTAAAGGTCAGAAGACGCGCCGCGTTTCCCGCACAGCGGCTCTGTACAGGAGTACACTTGATACTCGTTTGACATGTTACACTGTGACTGCAGATGTCATTCAGCTGACCCACACCGTGTCACAACATCTGCTTGTGTAGCAGTGAGTGGACACACAACAGCCCAGTGACGCTTATCTTTTTTCTGCTCACAGCTGTGTCAGGCCAAACGGAAGTGATCACTGAGCCTGTGTACTAACAGATGAACCGTGTTTGTGTTTTATTTCTCTTTCAGACATTTACGGGTCCATTTGTTTACTGTCTTGAGCCAGTTTTCAGCAATTCCACCATACAGTCTGTCCTGGCCTCCATTGGTTATGTGCCTCATACAGACCCCAAACAATGGTAAGAACCAGAGCAAGAGTGACGCACCAACTGTAGACATTAATCCACAAGGTCGCAGCTTTGCACAGCTCTTTGTCGGGACAAACGTAGACTCCTTAGGGTGGCTGTGGCTCAGGAGGTAGAGCGGGTTAAATGGACGCGATCCCAAAGCTGTGTGTGTGAATATTCCACTGGTGCTCAGGTCTGAATGTGTGACCGAGTGAGGCTTGTAGTAGAGAGCAGTTTGAGTGCTCAGAATAGAAAAGTCCAGCTCATTTACCACTTTAATTCCACACGTGGACACGTAACAAGCGACACCTGGTGACACAACGTGTATACAAAGCATTCCAAAAATTCCCCAAGAATGTTTTCATGTCTTATCCTTAAAGTGTCAAGACACTCAGCTTGTTCATATATCATATGTGTCCCTCTCAGAATAAATGACTCCAAACCACAGCAGGCAGCTGGAGACAGTGTGATTTTGTTCTTTTTAATATATTTTTATATTAAGACAGCTGGGATAGGCTCCAGCGCCCCCGCGACCCTGAAAAGGATGAGCGGAAGCGAATGGATGGATATTTTTTTATAAATATATTTTATTTTATTAACCTCCAGCACACGCCTTGGTCAGCCGAGGTTCTTTGACTTGACTTTCAGAGGATCACTTTTCTTACAAAGGTTCCTGAGACCAAGTAAAAACCCGAGTTCAGATTTTCCACACTATCTGTACCTAAGTGCTTTCTATCTAAGATTTGCACTGTGATGGATGCATCAGAGCCCAACCTGCAGTATCTTGCCCAAGAATAATTGGCATGCAGACAGGCATCAACCTTGCGATTAGCAGACTCTACCCGCACAGCTGCAGCCACCCCAGTCGTCTGTGGTTCTGCTCTCCTCATCACTTTGTCTCTGTTCTGTTTGATGCATTTCAGTGAGTACAGGCTCAGTGAGGATGTTAATGCAGACAAAGCCATGCTCGTTGGTTTTGAGCTGCTCTTGGCCAGAGTGGAATGTAACCACTTCCTGGAACTTCAGGAGGATCAACTGAGACCACAGGTATGACCATGTTTCATGTTAGTAATCGTCTCATCAGTTACGTTACAGTATATCACATCGATTGTTTTTTTAAGCCACTGTGGTAAGTTAGTAGGGCTGAGCAGCTGTACTCAGCTTGTAGAGTAGATAATCGAACCTGTCTCCTCCAGTCCACCTGCTGAAACATCCTCGGGCAAGATACTGAAGTTCAAGTTGTGCACAGACTCACAGAGACTATAATAAATCCCTGATGTGAGTGCTGTCTCTGCACTTACACTGATGGCTCATTGATTATAAAAGCACTTGTTAAAAAGAAAAATAACTAACATCTAACTAAGATTTCAACGTTTGTAAACACGTAAATTCTGTGAACAGGGGTGTCCGTCAGCTGGTTCAGCTGTAGCAGGAAGGCGGAGTCAGGGAGAAAGTCCTAATTTGTTAAAGAAAACCTGCCGGCCAGCAGGTTGAGTACCACAGTAACTGATGCAGAGTTGAGCTTTAACTTTGTCTCTTCCTCATCTCACAGTTAACAAACTCAGAGCTGAGAGTGAAACCTGGTTCCTGGACCAGAGCCCTGCTCCTCTGATCATTCCCCATAAATTATCCCCTTTTTTATTTCCTCCCTTTTTGAAGCTGTGAGTTTAAACGGTGGAACCTTGGAGCCGTGGCATATTCAGTGTGTCACCATGAAATACTAAATGACTGTAACTTCTCATGGTTGCTCAGCTTTGGCACATTTCCATTCTAATATTCAGCAGTGTGAGGAGGAAGTGTCATGTTTTATACTTTGCTCTGAACAAAGTCATGAATCCCAGAATAACAACTGCTGAAAACGGCTCCATGCTGCCAAATACAACCCAATTGTGAAAAGGTTGTGTAGCTGTGTAGAATATAGATGAAACCAGAATCCAGTGATTTGCAAACCTCATAAAGCCAGATTTTATTAATAATAGAACATAGAAACATATCAAGAGAAAATATGAGCCCATTCTGAATTGAATGTGTGCAGAATTCCCCAATGTTGCTGCCTTGCTGCATCTGACCCCTGCTCACCTTAAACAATTCAGGATCTCCTGGGAATTAATACAGAATTCCTACACTAAGTGGCTCTAAAAGAAAAGTAAGCAAAGAAATAATGTAGAGACAAAATCAGAGAAAGGAAAAACAAAGTATACAAAAAATACATTAATTTTTATTATTATTATTATTATTGTTGAAGCATTATTCAATTCAGTTAAATCAGATTTTTACTCAAACACAGCAGCAAAGTGCTTTGTGCTGTGAGGTAACGAGCATGCAATCAGTACGAGAGGGGGCAGAATAGAAATCAGTAATGCATCATGGGAAATCCCTCAGCACAGATCAGGCTGCAGCCTGACACAGGAGTGGCTGTTGGGAGAGGATGTACAGGTGACAGAGACGCCAGGTCAGAGGTCACGCTAGATGGGTTTGGTTTGACCGCCACGTGACAGTGATTGTCTTACTTTACAGGAGTGGCTCGATGTTCTTCAGAGACGAGAGCGAGCTGTGAAACTGACTGAATGCACGCAAAACAGGACGGCAACGGAACAAACGGAGGACGAGGAGGAAAAGAAGACGGAGGAGGATAAAAAAGAGGTAGCTGCTGCTTCCTGAAACCTGAAGCTTTTCCCAGAGCCGGACAAAGTGCTTTACAGAGACCGACTGAAGACACACGATACTGTGTGCATTCATTACAACAAGTCCCAACAGTTTAAAATGAGCACCCACACGATATTTGATATAAGAGTGACTGACAAAGCTTAATAACTAAACTACATTAGAATCCGCTCAGTTTGCTGTTTATGAATGAAGCTTGCTGAGGGTGCCGGGTGTTACTGTTTGTGCTGGGACACATTCATGCACCAGCACATCACAGCCAAGCATTTAAATAAGTAGTGTCAGGCATTCTTCACCCGAGGCAGGGTCTCAGTATTAGGCTTCTCCCAGCGTTCAGCACACGCCACGACCCTTCTCTGGTGGTTTTCATGATACTGGCAAGTAAAAATAGCCGAATGTGTGTCTGACAAACATTAACTGGAGCTCAAGTTGAGTTTCTTGCTTCCACCTGTTTGACTTTATTGAATATCTGCAGCTCCACAGGATCGAAGTGTGGAAAAGCTGCTTGTAATGGCAGCGACCTCAATAGCTATTCCTTCTTGCCAACAGAAAGGCCATCTTCAGCAGCTGATGGTAAATCACAGTCTGCCTGTCTCAGGCCGAGGCAGCGTCCTGTGTGTTAGATCCACGCAGTTACACACAGCCATCCTCAGGTCGAGCTCTAAGCACCATTGCGTTTCTACATTTTGTGTTTTTCTGCTCAACTCCAGCAGCACTGCAGTCGTGTGTGGGTGTTCATGCTGTGGACACCTTAGACTAGAAACCACACCCAACTATCCCCCCACACCTGCATCACAGTACTGGCACATTTCAAACCACAAACACGTACCGCACACAGCTCTGAACCAGGAGCCTTTAGTTGTGACACATCGGTGCTAATCACTGCTCCACTGTGCTCCCCATGTCTGCTGCCCCTTCAGCCCTCTTATTAAACCTGACCTTACTCTGGAAACCCTCTGGCAGTGCAATGTGGTGTTCCAGCACGGCAAGGCAACTCGGATAGTTCCTTTAAAGACTCGTTCTTTAGCCTGAGATAAAACGGAATCTGTTTTCATCAGTAAACTCAGCAGCATTATTTATGTTACATGAATACAACATGTCGAAGCTGGAACACAGCTGGGAAACAGCTGGACTGATGTCTAACACATGAAGAAAGAACACTGGACCACCATGCTGCTGTGGTATGTAGAGCAATAGGTTTAGAGGCCCCTACAAATACCATAGTTTTCAGACCAGAAGGCGCATGGATTATAAGGCACACTGCCGATGAACGGGTCTGTTTTCATACATAAGGCGAAACAAAATCAGAGAAGTCAAACATTACTCAGCTCATTCTTCTTGCTTCCTCCACTTCTGTACCATTGATTCATTAATGTTGAATCCTCTGCAGCTGCTCTATTCCCATGTTGTTGCAGTATATGAATGACTAACCTCGTATTGTGGATGGATGATCTCAGTTGTTCTCCTGACTGAAGTTTGGTCCGTTTACAGCATCCTGCCATGCGATTGCATTTGTCTCTAACTATCAGGAACCTTCACGTTAACTTTTATTGAGTGGAAAAAAGTTAGCATTCATCCTGCAGCTTCACTGTTTATGTTATGCTAACATAGCTGTGTCGCTAGCGATCCCATAGCACATCATTATATACCAGCTAGCCCAACTTCAGTCAGGGGCGTAATTTCCAAGGGGGTTAGGGGGGTTATGACCCCCCCCCCAATAATCAGACCCAACCAATATAACCCCCCAATAAAATTATGAATTATCTTGCATAAATAGGCTGTTGATTTTCTTTACTCATTTCAGGTATTACCAGCAAAATAGTTGCATGTTTAATCATCTGGGACAACTCTGTTAAATGTAATAAATCCTGTTTTCATGGACGCCTGGATGTTAACTTAATTGTTACACCTGGTAGAGCAGAACGCTGATCGTTTTATTAAAGGTGAAAGAATTTAGACAGTTTTCAATGCTCAGTGATACCACAGTGTTCGTTTGACTTTGGGACCTGAAGAGGACGGAGTTTAGGACCCAGATTACTGGCTCCCGACCAGTGTTGGTCAAGTTACTTGAAAAAAGTAATCAGTAGCTAAGTACTGATTACTTCCCCAAAATCCTCTTACTTTACTGATTACTTATTTTCAAAAGTAATTAATTACTTAGTTACTTAGTTACTTTTTAAAAACACGACTTACAACCCGAAGAGGTGATAAAGCGATAGATCTTTCAGCCCAATTCTACCTTTTCTGCATAATCCATTATACAAAATGTAATCAAATGGAAAAGTCTCTTTTTTAAACTTGTTTTATTAGTTTTAATCTTTTAACTTTATGCATCAAGCAAACATTTAATTATCTGCAACATTCTCTGACTGGAAGAAATTAGTTTAACATTTAAACCTATTTTCTGCACATTCCAGCACATAAAATAAAATATTTTTTGTGTTTACACTCAGTCTTTCAAATAGATGCAAGTAAAACACAGCAGAAAATAAATAAAGTCAAAGACTCAGCGGTCCTGTTGCTCTATTTTCACCTGTAAAGCAGGAGTGGGGTAGGCGGAGGGTTACCCTGGTGCAGGTGTGCCGCGGTCAGTGAAAGAATCCGCGAGTGTCTCTGTGAGTTTCCCATTACGTCGCAGCTACTCGGTGCTTGTTGGAAGTTTAGGGTTTTTTCGCTGTAAAAAGAAGTTTTCTTCCCACGCACAGCGGACACTCATGTTTTTGTCACTTTTTATGGAATCAAACTCAAAGTAAGGTCAGTACTTCTACGCTTTAAACGCTGCACGCTCATACTCTCTCTGCACTCGATATGTGATCCATTGTTGATCTGCAGACAGCTGCTGTCACGAACGTCGCACTCGCTTACGTCACTGTCATGAGACATTCTCGCAAAAAATCACGGTTTTAGTAACGCAGTAACGCAGCGTTCCTACGGGAAAGTAACGATAATCTAATTACCGTTTTTGCAATAGTAATCCCTTACTTTACTCGTTACTTGAAAAAGTAATCAGATTACAGTAACTGCTCATCTCTGCTCCTGACTACAGTAGCCGTAATGCTGGGACAGTCCATCAAGCCGTGCGGCTTCGTAGCTTAGCAAAGTTGACTAAGATCTTTTTGACAGATTTCTGAGCGCTGTGTAGCAGATAACATCAGTCCGAGGTCAGTAAGCACAACCAGAATTCATACATAAGGCCGATGTTGATTTTAAGTGCAGCAAATACTGTAAGCCTAAAATAAGGAAGCCTGTATGTAAGATATTTCAGTGGCATGAACAATTTTTTCTTTTAAAATGCCAATCACATGTTATATTAAAAAAACAGACACTTTTTAAAATAATGGCTCCATGTGATATCTATATCAACTAAGCTTTTAGCTATCAACCGTGTTGAATACGTGAAGCGGGAGCCTTTAACCCAGATAAGAAAGCAGCGTGTAGTGATGAGGAAGAAACAGACCCGGAGAAAAGGCAGGAAAAACCAAAAAGACAACCGTAAGATCGATGGTTTAAGTCCGCTTTCATATTTTTGGAAAATGGACAGATGCAATGGGCCATCTGCAGTGAAGAGAGGAGTGAGTATCTCAGAAACAAGCAGCACAGCGAATGTGTGGGAATGAAAGCACAAAGTTGTTTAAAATGCTTTTGAGTGCTCAGCTAGAGCAGAAAGGCGTTTACCAGTCCATTTAGCTGAAGCTCCTCACCCCTGAAGGCGCTTCAGACATCTTGCTGACAGTCAGAAGAGCATAAACGAAAGTGTGGTGAACGTTAAGAGGCCAGCCTGTGAGCTAAATGTTATTTATACTGTAAGGTAAAACTACAGTGATACAATACTTAATCACCTGTTCTGTTTGCCAGGTACTGTACTTGGACACCAGGCTTGTAACAACCCCCCAGCCTAAGCCTCAGCATTACCACCTCTGCAGTGTAGACCCGTCTATTATGGAGATGCAGAGGACCTACCCTGACCTGGCCATCAGGGGCCGGCCCCTGCTTCCAGACAAGCCCCACAAAGTCTGCAGCAGCACTAAAGCTGTGAGTGCCGCTGACCTGCCCAAGACAGAGTGCAGCGAGAATCCCTGCACTGCTGTTGCACCTGTGCTCACTACCAACGACGACGGCAAAGCTCAGCAAAGTTTGGACGGCAGTCGGAGAGGCAGGAACAGTGGAGGGGCAAGCGCTCCAGGGGACACCGGCAGCGACACCCACAGAAGCAGAGTGGATGATGAGCTCAGTGGCCCCAAGGCCATTTCCCTCCACATCACACTCAGAGCAGGAGCCACAGCACAGCCTCCAACACAGCACGACACTGGTAACACACACTCACACACTCAGAATACAACAAAATTTGTCATTTGCTCCAAGGGTGCCCTAACAGCCTCCAGCACTTAACTGACACACGCTGATTTTCACAGGGACACAAGACGAGAGTCCGGTCAAGTCAGACCTTTCCTCTCTCAGCTCCGTGGATGAGGAGGAGCAGGAGCTGAGAGGGTTGGTGGAGTGGATGGGACAAGTGCAGGAAAATGAACATGAGACAACAAGAAAAGAGGGGGACAACACAAACCAAGACAGGAGGAAACAAATAAGAAAAGCAAACACAGAAACAAAAAAGAGAAGCCTCAGGAAGCCAGTGGTGGGAAAAGCTTCAGCGCTGAGTCATGACGACGGCACACACACGAGACCGCAACAGTGTGACGCGACAGTGACGAACCAGCAGCCCGCCGAGTGTCAGCCCTCGCCTCCAGCCGACAGTACGGCAGACACCCAGAGGCAGCGGGAAGGAGATCCAGGTGGTTCTGGAGACGAGGACGCTGGCCCAGCAGAGGAGGAGCAGGTGGCACAGAGCTTTGTTATAGTGGAACAATGCAGAGACTGAAGAGCAGGTGGAAACAAGCTGAGCCGAGGTGTAAGTGTGCTGTGGGAGTGTTCTTCCTTCTCTCACTTTGACCCTGTTCTGCTGTCCAGCTGCAGAGCGCCACACAGATCCAGTCACGTTCATTTGTCAAGATGACGCTTTCATAGTTTCAGTGTATTTGGGCAGCTTTATGCTGGATGCCCTTCCTGACACAACCTCCAAGGCAGTTTTGTCTTCAGCTGGAATTGAACCTGCAACATTTTGATTTGCAAGGGAATGTGTTAACCGCTAAATCATCGGAGGCACTCTGAAGAGCAAAACGTGCGTTACTGCTAGGTGGTTGAGCTAATTAACCAGTATGTTGTGCTATTTACAGCAGCCTCATAATTTGACCCCTCCTCACGAACGGCAGCTTTCTGTCTGTTTCCAACGATGGAAGTGTGTTTACAATGATCAAAGATCTTCTTTCGTGCAGATAAAGCACAGATAGTCTTATCATCATTTTTTTATAAAATGTTAAATTGTGATTGTTGTGCCTAAATGACCAAAATCAAAGCTGTATACCTTTGGTATATTATTAAAGCCATATAATGTAAACTTCTTGAATGCATCAATAAATAATCATGTTTTATTTAAAATAAATGAATAAATTAAAAGAAAATGAAGAGAGCTCATGAGTGGGACCCATTTTCGGCTCTGGTTGTGACCAGCGTGCAGCATTTCCTGTATATGTATTTGTGCTGTTGTTTGTGAAAGCAGACTCATTCACTGCTGTCAGACTAATGCAGAGGTAGATGCATTGCATGTAGATGCTGTATGTGTGTGAAGGTCCTCAGTCAGTCACAGCATCGGTGCAGCGAGGAATGCCCAGACCTCTACACCGGAGAGACCAAACAGCCACTTCACAAGCGCATGGCACAACACAGAAGAGCCACCTCCACAGGACAAGACTCAGCAGTCCATCTGCATCTTAAGGATAAAGGACACTCTTTCGAGGATGCCAATGTTCACATTTTGGACAGAGAGGACAGATGGTTTGAAAGAGGAGTGAAAGAAGCCATCTATGTCCACTGTGAGCGACCATCTTTGAACAGAGGCGGGGTTTACGACACCAACTCTCTGCCATCTATAATCCAGTTTTGAGATCCCTTCCCAGACGCCTTAACGCCCACTCACATCCTGGGCCATCTGACCTCAGGAAATCACATGATAGGTGGGGCCAGGTTTCACAATGAGCTCACCCGAAACTCTGGCTGATTGTGACCCACACCCAGTTTCACACCTTGGCTTGTGTGATTAGACCCTTTGTAAAGCTCAGACATGTATATGCTACCTAAACTTAATTAAGTAATAAATACATTAACTAGTTGTTAGTGTCACTCTGGGATCTAATTACAGAGATGCTGCACAAATGGAAGCAAGCAGTCCTACATAGCTGTTTAATATGTGCACTGGAGGTCCAAAACGACTCAGGCTCCTAACAGGAATGTGTGACTTCACTATTACAAAGTTGTGACCCAGTATTTTCCTGAAACTGAACATACAACTGAGAAAAATCCTGAATCAGGAGCTGCATCGTTCCCAAGGGCAGCGATGGTGGTAAACTGTAAAGCATATGTTCACACAGGCTTTGATTAAAACTTGCTGTTGTTCACCTTCAGCATCGCAGGTTCACGAACACTTGATGGAAACATCTGTACATTCGTTGACTGGTGAAAGTTCTTCATTGTGTTTGGTTTGTTCGGCAGCTCACGGAGCTGTGTTCACTGAACCCCCTGGCTTCTGCTCCGCGGCTGCTGAGTGAGCCCTCATCTGGGACTCTCCTCAGCTCTTTCTGGGACAGTGGCGTGGCTGCCCCTCTGTTGGTCTTCCTTGGTCTCTTGTGTTCTGGGGGCCTCTGGATGTCTGGAGTTTTGATCTCCTCCATACCTGCTTCATGCCCTGGAGGACGGGGCTGTGGCCCCCCACACTCCCTAGCAGATCGTTACATGGAGAAACCTTTGGAATGCAAGCATGCTGATCCACACAGGTATGCACACAGGTGTACACACGGGTATTCACAGACGCGGACTACAGCTTTCTTGGCTGCTGCCTCAAAGCACATTGTGCGCTGTCTATCTTGCGTGCTGCACAATATCGTTTATTATTTAGTATCTACTGATATCTACTGCTAGCTAGTTTATTGTGATGGTGCCGTTTTTTTTATTATGTTGCTCTTTGTTGTTTGCTTTCTCTTCTGTTTTTTTTCTCCATACAGGTGACCCAGGTGTTTTGTTTTTTTTGTTTGTTTTTTTTTCTTTCTTCCCCCCCTTCTCACCGTCTCTTCTCCCCTTTGGTTTTCTTTCTCTCCCTCTCTTTCTTTCATTCTTTCTCCCTGTCCTATCCCCCAGTCATGTCTGTCCCGTTTGTAGCAACTGAAAATAAAATAAATACATAATTATAATAAAGGTCAATCAAATGGACCAATATGGCAAGGCCATGATGATCCACTTGGTAAAATAAATCCGCTTGGCATCTTTCTTGGCCTTAAGACAACAATTCTGATGCCAAAGATCCAAACGGGACACACAAAAAGAAAAAAAAAAAGGAAAGCTGATGTTCACTGTTCAAAAACGAACTGTTGTGAACAGAGTTGTTTCACTGGCACCTTATAGATCTTTTTAAAAAGTGGCGATGAATAGATTAGTCTGCTGGTGTTCCTTTAGCTGTGTTGCCTCATTTACTAAAGACCTGTCTGGACTACGTTCACAAATACTGCTCAGCCACAGTTAAACATGTCTGCTTGAAGAATGAAGCAAAGCTTTTACATTTGAAGACACATTTTTGAAAGTTGTTTTGATGTAAACATGCATGAACTTAAGGCTCATCTGCAGAACTGCTCCAGTATCCTAGAGTTAGGCAGGAAAAACTGCAAATGATGCAAAACAGTGCAGCTAATAAATGTAAATATTATTGGTAACATTGAAAGTCTAATTACAGACTCGCGTTGAATGCCATTTCTGTAGGATACGAGACAAAAACCCAACTTTGACTTGTAAGAAATATTTTATTCGTTCATTGTATGTGTTGGATGGAAGAGTGATGTCTAAGTAAAGTGGTGCAGTGCAAAAACATGTGTATGCATGCTGCCTCTGTGGTCTGAGGTCACTAATGGCACATCTTCTGTTGGTGGATCTGGATGGAGGACAAACAATAGTTTGGGTCATTTTTTTCCTTTGGTTAAAAGCTGTCACGTTTATTTATAGCACCAAACCACAGCAGTGTTTGAGCTCAAGCTGCTTTATACTTGCAGCCCCAAGACGAGTTTTCTATTCGTTACCCAAGTCTGTCGGCCTCCCACAGCCCAGAAAAATATCACCCCGACTTTAACTGATGTGTAAGCAGTTTACTAATCTCTCTGCAGTCAACACGCCAATAATTCAGTTCAATCATATTGTTTAATTGATGCTTTTGACTTTTATTACACAGAGTGCCAACTCTCAATGAGCACAATTGCAAAGTGTATAAAATAAAACACAAATTTTTACACACATTTTATTCCTAACACAATGCAGCCAACTCTGCTTGATCCTTCAAGCGCTGTAAACTCGACTGATCAGTCATGTGACCTGGCAGTGAGTCTTTAAGCACGCTCAATCATCCGGGTAAGGAAAGAGAAGGCAGAGAGCCCACAGCATCACTCAGGAAGCTCCAACGTGTCCCCGAGTTCAAGGCTCCAGGGCGTCAGGCTGTCAGTGGCTGCAGATTTTTCACAGTGCCGGATCACACAGCCTGTTCAAACACTGACTAAATGTTGTCATGGAAATAGGCTCCTTCATTTAGGTGGCAGAGCAGATGCAGGCAGGTAAAGGACAGAGGAGTGATACAGAGTGATGATCAGACCAGGACGTATAACTCGTGGTCTGAAGTGACACAACGCTGTCACTGGACTTGTTCTGTATGAAGAGTTTTCACTTACACACTTCCTCAGACTCACAGAGGATTAATCACGCTCTCAGGAAAAACACAGCAGATAAGATCCAAGGACCAGCCTGAGCGCGCAGCATCTTTGAAGGCTGACAGGCTTGGGCTCGAGCACTGGAATGATCCGCTCTCATGTTCAGTTTCTCAATAGTTTCTTGTGAGCACATTGATTACATTTTACTTTAATACTGCAATTAAATGTACTGAGATTGGTCTTCATGAATAGGAATGGCTGACCTGGGAGTGCATACAAAAATGTCACATGTGACGAGGTGTAAGATCAGAAACAGCTTAAAAAAGGTGCTGTAACAGCTTCCTGTCAGGTTGGGGTTAGCATGAGTGCGTGTTCGGGCATCAGAGACTTGCTGCTAGGATCTTGGCTCGGTTCTCTTCGTACTGGTGCAGCATCCTCTGCAGGTTGTGGTCAGCAGGAATCACCTGCAAACACACACATCATTCTTAAATATCAGGAAGATCAGGGTTGGCTATGAGGGACTTACTCGACACAGAAAGCAGCAAAAACATGGCTCCAAACCAGATTAAAGCCTGTGTTTTGGGGGAAGCGGGGAAAACAAACAATGATACAGTGTCTCTACGCTGCACTAAAGGACAAACCTGGATAAAACTAATTGTAGGGACGGCTTTCCCAAGAGTTCTTCATAGTGGGGTTGAATATGCTTCATCACAAAGCAAGGTTTGAAGCGTAATCCTGACAGCAGACAGTCTTCTGAATCAAACCAGAGCTGGTACTGCAAAAGAGACGGCTGAAAGCTGAAGGCTCCGCCTCTCCTGCGGGGGCTGAACGTCCCTGTCACTGCAGTATTTTGGATCAACTGAAGGCTTTTCTGGGAGTTTTTAGGACATCCTGATAAGAATGAATATGTCCAGCCTAGAAGTAATAAATGCATGAACAGGAAGAACACCACTACACAGGCTCTTCTATACAGTGAGCAGCAAAGATCTTCTAAATGAGTGGATAGAGCTGGATAGAAAGAATAGAAAACAGTGCTCGTATGTGTTGTGTGTGGATGGGTGAATGAGGCATACAGTATGACATGCTTCAAAAACAACTTGGGTCAACCAGACCTGGGAGTTTGGGCCCAGGTTCCTCGTCGTGTTTCTAATCAGTGTGGAAGAGTGCACCGTCCCGTCCTTGTTATGGGCTTAGTTGCAACAATATTTAGGTGGGTGGCATGAGACAAGAACCCAAGGTTTCCCCAAATCATTGTCATCATTCACTGTGTGTGTCTGTGGTGTGAGAGTGAGTGTACTACCTGAAAGCAAAGCTGTGCTCGTGTGAACACTCACCAACACAGGAGCAGGAACAGGCCAGGAGCTACGCCTGATTAGCCACTCCTCATACAGCTGGTGAATGGACTCAAGATACTCCTGGTGGATGGACGCACGCACGCACGCGCACACACACACACACACACACACACACACACACACACACACACACACACACAGGTCTGAGAGGTCTTGCATCCGTTTCTAAGAATGGTTTGAAATAGCGACAGCTCACTGCTGACATTTATGGGCTCTGCAGTTTAACAAGGATTTTATTTAAGGTCTTTTTATCCAGAACAACTAATTCTTTGGGATTTTAAGATTCATGTTTGCTGCCCCACTAAACCTCTTGTGAAAGACGTCCTGAACCTTACTGACTGTTTTAGTCTTGTTCAGTCGGCGCTCCCTCCCA